CAGGACCAAACTGGAAAACAGAGATGGAACAAACAGATTCTGCAGAGTGGGAGAATAGAGATTGAATGAAGAAAAATGATGAACTAGGGGTCCCTATGTCCTCCAGCAGTCTAAGCCTATAGCAGCATAACTATAGAGATAGCTCAGGATAACCTGAGCCACTCTAACTATAAGCTTTATCAAAAAGGAAGGTTTTAAGCCTAGCCTTAAAAGTAGACAGGGTGTCTGCCTCACGGACTAAAACTGGTATTCCTTAAATTAGACGGTTTCAATAAGATTTAGGACCAATTGGGTGTTACATTTTCCCGACCCCCATATATTACCTGTAATAGAAAAATGTTTGTATTGTGTACACCTCTTTTTTATTTTGGGATTTTCTGCTGTATGGATTTTAGTTTGTTTATGATAAAAGTTTTGAAAAAATTAAATATGAAAAAAAAAAAAAAATCTGATTCAGGGTGTATTCAAGGTATCCTTCAGAGTAAATAGAAAACCCCAGCTCAGGTCTGAGACTATAAAATGGACCCAGGGCAATTGTCGCTTAAATAGAAACGGATGCTGAAAAGTCTGCTCATAAAGAGGAAGTGACCTCCGAATCCTGAATGACGGCTTCGGCTTTGAATGCTAACAGTATTTAAAAGGTCTGACAAGTCAACGATCACCCAACAATGTGTGTGCAGAGGTTAATTAGTTGTTAATTAAAAAAAAACTAAACTAAAACACCTCAAATCATAAAACATTTAACTCAGAGGGCAAAGGACATTTCTGGCATGAATTCCTCCAATAAACACAAGCTGTCCTTGATGGGCAATAATACAGGCAGTTTGTGACTTCAAACTGAATGGTTTCTCTGACTGTTTGCACTGAGAGCTTTCCTCCACTGACGCGTCCTTGTCACACAGGAACAGAGGAAAACACATCACATCCTTTCTTTATGATCCGGTAGGCAGTTCTGAAAATATCTTCAGCTACAAAAGGTGCTAATTGGGCTCTTGGTAAGATAAAAGCAAAGCAACTGTTGTGTGGGAAAAGCCAAAGGCTGCCATTGCCATGGCTACCTGCCATACTTGGCTTTAATTACTGTAATTATGGTTTTTAACTTTTTCACATCAAAGAGTGCTCTGGCATTCTGCAGCAAACTGCAGCGGTGACCTACAGCCCTGCCTCCCACTGAACTGTGGCTGATCTGAAGTCTCTGTGAAAACCTTCATCATGTCTGTGTTTGAGGTTTTGAGAAAAAGTCCAACCTTTACAGCTGAGCAGATAGCCGCTTAATGAGACACGCACATATAATGCCATTACACAAGAAAGTCAAAGGATAACAGACAAAGGCTTACACAGAAAAGGCTCTGGTGATACTGGCTCCGGATCCCAGTAGAAGCACCTGTTAACAGTAGGATACAAGGGTCTCCACAATTACTAACACTACTGGTAAAAAACAAAAAAAATAAAAAGTCATATTTGTGTTGTTTTTTATTATAAGCAATGATGACACCGACTAGAAACATCCAGCTTCTCTTCACTCTCCTCTATCTGCTCTCTATATCTGCCTTCTTCGGCCATTATTACCTTTTTCAAGTACCCAGTAGTTAAATTTTTCATTTCTTTTTCAGAAATGTACTATAAAGAAGTGTGTTTCTGTTCTAGGTTGACTTAGACTTAACTTTATTTATCCCTTGGGATTACTCCATCAGGAATATCCTGATTCCAGTAGCTTATATAGAGTACAAAGAATTAAAGTAAGATGCCATTAAAGATCAAAATACGACAGACAATATAAAAAGATTGTATATAGTACAAAAAAAAGAGTTGTAATGTCCTGGAATCGGTTTCCCTTAGATATAAAACTCTGTGCACAGCAGAGAGCTAAGCAGGACTACATAGTAGTTGACTTGGGTTATTGCATTTGCACTGCAGAAATGTACTGACCATATAAATAAGTGGAAATTATACAGACTACACAGTAATCACAGTCCACATACTGATAATCTTCACCAGCACACTACACAGTAGTTGACTTGGATTGTTGCACTTGTATTCATCTTATAAATAGGTAGAAAATTACACAGGCTACACAATAGTTTGCATGTGTTATTGCACAGTGAGAAGAATATTGCACAGGAGTGACAATAGGTCATGTTTTTCATAAGCTGTCCAAGGAGAGGTTGCTGACCCTTGTCCCTCTTCCTATCATCTCCTCCTTCCCCCAAAGTGAGGAGGTGTACAGCTTGATGGCTTGGGTAACAAAGTAGTTCAGGAGTCTGTTGATCCTGCATTTGGAGAGGAGCAATCTCCCACTGATCAGGCTCTGGGTGGTGAATACAGTGTGCAGATGGCAGACATGGGCAATGTGGAGTCAACAAGTCATCTCCATGTCATGTATTTAATCTACCCAGCCAATTAACCAGGTGAGTCCAATCTGCACAGGTTAATTGACGGTGAAGATTGGACTCACCTGCTTCAGTGGCTGGGTAGAAAAAATACATGACATGGAGATGACTTGTTGACTCCACATTGCCCATGTCTGGCAGACGGTGACTGGCATTGTTCATAATGTCCAAGAGTTTGTTAAGTGTCCTTGTCTTTGCCATCATCCGCAAAAGCTCCAGCTTCTTGCCAATCACAGAGATGGCTCGCTTGAGCATTTTGTCCAGTCTGGAGGTGTCCTTCATGGATGTGCTGCTCCCCAAGCAAACCATGGTGTAGAAGAGAACACTGGCATCAATGGATTGGTAGAACATCTCCAAGAGCTAATTACAGATGTTAAACGGCCTCATGTCTCCTACTCAGGTGGTTGGTGTGTGTTGACCAGTCCAGTTTATTGTTCAGCAACACTCCAAGGTCTTTGTATGAATCCACAGCCTCCACCTCAGCCCCTCCAGTAGTACAGCCTTAGTCTTTGGTCCATTCCTCCCAAAGTCTATGACCAGCTCCTTCGTCTTGGAGATATTGAGTTCCAGGTGGTTGTGCAGCACCAAGTCCCCCACCAGACTCCTCTTTGTTGTCCCTGATACACCCCACAAAGGCTGTGTCATCTGCGTACTTCTGAATGTAACACAGCTCAGAGTTGTAACAGGAGTCTGAGGGTTTATAAGGTGAAGAGGACAGGGGTGAGCACTGTGCCCTGGGGGGACTCCACTGCTGCTGGTCACAGTTTCAGAGATAGTGTCTTTCAGCCTGACATACTGTAGCCTGTCTGTGAGGTAGCTGGAGATCCGTGCCACCAGGCAGGGGTCAACTCCCTTTCTATTCAGGGTGTCCCTGAGCAGGGAGGGCTGGATGGTGCTGAATGCACTGGAGAAGTCCAGGAAAAGAATCCTTGCTGTGGGACTTCTTTTATCCAGGTGGGAGTGGACTCGGTGTAGTGGGTAGAGGATGGAGTCCTACACTCCTAAACCTGGCTGATATGCAAACTGCTGGCAGCCGTGCTACCCACTGCGCCACTGAGCAGACCTTGTAAAAATACAAACAAAACATAAGATATTTCACTACATTTTAATACTAACAGAGAATGTCTTAGCAGTAACAAGCAGGACAATATGTTAAATAAAATGTAGTGGTCCAAATAATTTTCTCAACCCCTAAACAAGTAAAAGAAATGAACATTTTGGTTTTTAAAGACACTTTCTCCAAAAAAACTTAGAAAACCGAACAGACAACGTTGTGTATTATGAGAGCAAACCAATAAGGCGTATGGACCAAGAGAGGGCAGTTGTTATTCTCTTGTTCACTAAGCAAACCTTTTCACGAGAAATCTGGTTATTTTTTCCTTTGTAGCATAAAAATGCCTCTGATTTTTATGTAAAGAAGTAAAAGTATATATAATTAAGTATCTAATGTAACAAAATAAAAGTCTAAATAAAGAAAAAACAGTAAAGTGTAGATCCTTAAAATTTGTAGATACTATACCCCTCTAAGGACTAAAGAAAGGGAATAACTATCATTTATAAATGGAGTCTGTGTGAATACATTAAAAATCAAGATAATGGGTAATTATACATGGATATTATAGGTATGAGTAATAAACCAGCTACCAAATGTAAAACTGACAAACAACTAGTGATAAAAGCTAAATATTACAGAAGTATTATTAGAAAAGTCTTCAGAAATGTATTACTATCCACCGGTTTACCACATGATTATTGAGGCCACATGTCGAAAGGAGCCTGCTGAGGTGGCTGGTTTAAATGTTTTAGGGATTATCCAGCTGTAGGTATAGTAATATTTAGCAGAATGCCTACTTCCGGGTCCTACCTGGTCACCTCAGGTGACATTTCACCTGAATGTGAATTTCAGGTGTTCCAGAAATGTCCTATGCCACACAATTCTCTGCAGGATGGTGTTTGTAGACCAGACATAGCTTCCTCCCATAATAAACTAGATTCTTTCTCAAGGTTTATTCATAACATGTTACTGTTAACCAAAGTGTCTGTAATTTGTTTTGACTTTGACTACTTTTGCAGTGTTCTAAGTAAGGGGGGACGAACCCTGCTCTAGCAGAACAGAGCAGAATGCTGTGCCATAAGGACTTCATGATGACTGTTCTCTCTTTGCAAAGATATGAATAAATGTGCCGACTGAGTGAAATCCATCGATCTCAGTTTATTTAACTAGGATGAATAGTTGAATACTTTTTTCACTCGACAGTCCGTAGTAATGTGGCATTGTTTCAGTAAGCCATAGCATTTATTTTCATCTAAAGCTGCTCTGATTTTTTGGAGCCCGTATTCTATTAAAACTGGACCCACAAAACGTTCAACATACAGACGGAGAGTAGTTTATGAGGACATGTTTTAAATAAAACAGCTCTTATAGTATTAATAATTATTAGGTGTTCACTTTCAGCAGAAGTCTGACTCCAATGACGGACAGTATAAGTCAGTATAAGAGCAGTTCTGTCATGCCTTTTCCGTGTCCCGATGATGCAATGGGCTGAGTTCTTTGAGATGTTTAAAGTTTGGATGTTTAAAGTTAATTCTCAAAACAGACAAGGATTCAGATATCATCAAAGAGTAAATTGATTTTATTATTGCTGTTTAAGATTCCTACAGGTTGAATACATGCTCCGCTTTCACAGCCATCCGTTGGTGGAGAAATCCCGTCTCAGCTGCTGGGTCTCTGCCTCTGTGAGCGGCCGTAGAGGAGAACGGCAGGCGCCGCCGTGGTAACCAAACCACTCCATCGCCTGCTTCAGGGCGGGAACTCCCAATTTCCTGGTCACCTAGCAACAAGGAGCCTCAATCAATTTCTATACACCCCCGCCCACTACATTAAGTGAACATAGGAACAGTGGCAGTAAAGAAAACGTGTTAATCTTTGGTATTTTCTGACCGACTTGACTTGGAGCTGTGTGTGCGGTGGGAGGCCGAGTGTTTGAGAGCAGTGGCATTTAGCAGTCCTTAACAATCCTGTGGATGGCCTTAAGCACACTCAGCAGCCAATCACTCAGTCCCAGAGCATCTCTGAGCCGCGCTGAGCACACAGCTCTGACATTCATCATTCAGAATTAGCTTTTTTTATTTCCCTTTTCTTATCCAGGTGAAAATAATCATTCATAAAAAGACTTTTTCATCGTTTAGGCAATAAATACCATACTTTTTTTTAAAAGTATATCCCTTAACGGTACAACTTTAATACGGATAGTAAATACATGTTATTAATTATGTGTAACCAAGTATTAACTTATTACTAAGTGCATATTGTGTTGTATAAGATATTATGCTTGAAAAAAAAAAAATTACAAATGCTTATTAGCATAGATGCATTTGGTTTCTGCTGATTTGGATCAAAAAGTTTGAGCCAATGACTTATTTTATTTACAGTAGTAGCCATTCAAAAATTCCACACTTTCCTTGATGACTTGCCTTGCCTGGTCCTCAATCTTTGTACTAAAATATTCTTTCTGTCATGAGTTGTGGACATTAAGATCTAAAGAGAAGCATCAGCTCAGTTTATAGATGTTTTTCCAGTGTAGTCCTGTTTCTCTGGCTGTGACTAACTGGATGTGCTCTCTTCATACTCTGACATGGGCGCAGGCTCGGAGCTCATCTGCCTGGCTGTGTGTTTCCTGGATGCTGCCTCCTTTTACAGCTGCTTTTTCTATCTCTGCTTCTGTCTCCTTGAACCCCAGTCGGCCTCAGCAGATGGCCGCTCACACTGAGCCTGGTTCTGCTGGAGGATTCTTCCTGTTAAAAGGGAGTTTTTCTCCCCTCTGTCGCTACAAGCATGCTTGGTGTGAGGGATTGCCTTCAAGTCAATGAGTCGATGCAATCAACTGGTTTTCTTTAGATAGAAAACTTTAAATCAATCTGACTGTATCATCTGGTTGAACTGTAAAGTGCCTTGAGATGACGTGTTGTGAAATGGCGCTATATAAAAAAGCTGAATTGAATTGAAATATTTTCTTATTTTCTTTTAACCAATTGCTTTGTTCTTGACCTTTGTTCATAAAGGTTAAATTTGTTATTTCAATAGATTCTCCCTGAGCCTTGATCTCCATCAGAATTACTATGGGCAGCTATGCTGCTTCTCTTATTAATGCTCTTCCTGCCTAATTTGGTGTGGGAGGTTTGCACCTGCAGATTCAGATGATGGATAGAGCTGCGTTAAGTAATGTTAGGTTGAGTTTTTTTTTTTTTTTTGCCCTACTTTTAACATCTCTACAGTTTTCTCCCTGACCTGTCTGCTGTGTTCCCTAATGATGTTTCATGCTGCCGTTTGTTCTCCAATGTTTTTGAACAAAGGAAAGCACACAAATCTGGACACTGTTGTTAGATAATTTTAATATTCTACACTGTTCCCATAATTATTCAACTAATTATTTTGGACAGGGGCATAAATGCACCTGTCCAAAAAAAAAAGGCATGTTGATGTCTGTAATTGTACCATGACCATTTAGTAATGCTGGGATTTAGAAATAGGAAACAAGCAGTTATTTTAGGCTGAGCATTCAGTATTCTCATCACCGCTGTTTCCAATTAATCCCTCTCTGATGGTATTATACTGTTCTTAAGATGTGATGTAATGGTAACATGTCTTACCTAAGTAAAATGGAAATACTTTGAGTGATTTTTTCCAGCCTGTTGATCAGTTTTATTAGTAAAAACTTTTTTAATTCCAGCCCCGCAGAGTAGGTACTGTTTTATTCAGCTGCCGGATGAGAGGTGGTACTTACAGCTGCGTTGGGTTCGATGAGCCGCTGCTGCAGGACTTTGGCTGCCCCCCAATGCCCAGACTGACACAGACGCTCCAGTTCACACAGCTCCTGTCCCAGCACGTTGGCCAAGGCGCACACTCCACCAACAGCACCTGCACACACAGGGCCAATCAGAGGTCAACACACAGAGAGGTTTTATCTACAGATGATTTGCTTCTTATCTTCTGAGTTAAATTTATGTTTGACATTAAATTTACAAGGGGTGAGTTTTAATGTTCCTAAATTTTAAACTTAATGTGCAAAAATGTGAGAAACATGATTTTGTTACAGTGGAGTTGATCAGAAAGGACAATTAGCATCCAGCTTCTTCCTTTCGGTTATCATGTTGTGATGATGTAATACAATAAAAAATAAATACTTTGAAACAACTTTAAAAAAAAATGTATTTTGTTTTAGCTAGCTCTAATTCTGATTAGATCTAAACTGAACTGAAACATTTGTGATATTCTGAAGCAGGAGTTTAAAATGACATCAGTTTATGAGATCTTTTTTTTTTTAAGATTTAAGGCACTAATGGTGCATATTTTTATGCAGTTGGCTGACAGGAAAGGGGGTAGGATAGGGGGTAGAGACATGCGGCAAAGGACCACAGGCTGGATTCGAACCCGTGTCGGCCACATTGAGGCCTCCATACATGGGTTGTGCGCTCTTCACACTACATTTATGAAGAACCCTTCTCTATGATCCATTATTTTACTGGGTCCAACTCAAATGATTGACCATATAGAAATGATTTATGGTAGTGTGGTTAGGCCTGTCACGATAACAAATTTTGCTGAAAGATTAATTGTCTCATAAATTATTGCGATAAACTATAATATTGTTTGAAGACCTCTTTACACTGATTTAATGGATATTACATAATAATGCATGCATTTTCATGCCAAAGATCAACACACTTTATTTTCGACAGAACACTTATTTTGTTAACCAGTTCCAGTGTTGGAACTGGTTAACAAAATAAAACGAGAAATAAAAATCAAATGGACTCTCAGTCTCTGTTAACTAAAAATACACTTGAATAAAAACTAAACACAAGATAAAACCAGAGTGGAAATAAAAACGTATGTACAACATATCACGTTTGTGATATGTATGTTTTCCTCGGGAGTTCATCCTGTCTATCAAATGTCTGCAACATTTTTTGAAATGCCGGCTTTTCAACAATATTAAATGGGAGCATCTCATTAGCAATTAAATGAACTACGCTGTCTGTAAGCGCGCGCCACTTAGCGCCGTCCTTTTTGTATGCTGCCTGTCAATTAATTGCTTAAGTGACGGTGGACTGTCGCAAACTTGAAGACACAGGCGGGACACCGCTTATGCTTTTTCTCCCCAGCTGGAGAAACTTTGCTGGGTGGTTGTGCTTAAGGTGCATGTGTAGGTTGGTTGTATTGCTGCTCTTAGTTGCTACTGTTTTATGACAAATGCGACATACTGGCTCGCATAGTTTCAGCGGTTTGCCTTGGTCATTTGGTTTGAATCCGAAATACTCGCACACTGCGGCTGTTGTGCTCGGCTTTGAAACCAGTTCCATTTCGAGCTTTTCCCCCCAACATAAGACATAAGATGTGTTTTGTTACCTCGCTAACTCTTCTAACTCCTCACGGGGCTCTAAAGCTCAAAATGATGCGCGCTGACGACCTGATGCGATAGTCCACTCTTCCTCCCTCCTCAAAAATGAGGAAGGGGAGGGGTTAGTGGATAGCATCAAGAATCATCAATAGAAGGAGAAAAACACAGGCAGAGACGATATAGCAGATAAATGAAATGACGTGGATAGTTTTTATTTATCGTGTGATCAATTGATTTATTGATTATCGTGACAGGCCTAATTGTTGTGCAAAAAAATCTGCTAAAGCAGGGAAACCTCTAAAACCTGCAGGACAGCGGCCCTCGAGGACCGAGGTTGGGGATGCCTGACCTAGATGACCAAGAATCTACTTCTTCTGAAAGTACTTTAAATGTACAATTACTACATACTGCCCAATAAATGATGTGTTTTCAATTAAGAGTAATTCAATCTGAATGTAATTTACTTTAGGCATCCATGATTGTCAAAGAACACTACTGATACCTACCGGTTTGTGACGTCAAAGTGTGGTATCACCAGTGCGGTACCTGGTGTTTCTCACAGTGCGCTATTATCCAAGTCATCATGAACCAACTTCACTGGTCCCTGCCCTCAGCGTAGAATTCACCGCTGGCCACTTCACCGTTCTCTCGCACCTTTTTCATAGTGATACTATGTAATAGGCCTGAAACTAACCATTATTTTGCAAATCGATAAATCTGTCAATTATTTTTTCACCTATTCGAATAAAAAAGACTTTTTAAGAAATAAAACCAGGTGAAACTAAAAGTTTTCCAATTGAGGAGTTCTGGATAGAGGATATTGACAGACACTGGGGCGACAGTGGCATTGGACGTAGGAGTTTGCCCTGAAATCGAAGGATTGACGGTTCAAGCCCCAACTCTGACTTTCAGTGTCGTTGTGTCCTTGGGCAAGACACTTCACCTACATTGTCTACTGATGGTGGTCAGAGGGCCCGGTGGCGCCAGTGTACGGCAGCCCCGCTTCTGTCAGTGAGCCCCAGGGCAGCTGTGGCTACAATGTAGCTTCCCACCATCAGTGTGTGAGTGTGTGCGTGAATGGGTAAATTAATGTAGTGTAAAGCGCTTTGGTCAAGTCTCCTGACTTGAATAAAGGCGCTATATAAGTACATGCCATTTACGAAAAAAGTTTTTATAACTTAAATGCAAAATGTTAACTTCTTTTTTTACAATTTTGGTATAATTGCTGCTCAAGGTGGGTTGCTCTGCCAGCTAAAGACATGTATTAGAGTCTCTATAGTCCAGTTAATGATTAATTAAATAATAAATTAGTTGACAATTATTTCAATAACCAATTAATCATGATTAATCCGATTAATTGTTTCAGCCCAATAATGTAAATCCTTTGCCCTTGCTGCAAACAACGAGTTTGTAAACGCACAATTCCACTGGCTCCCTGTATTTTACAGTCTATAGATCACTGAATGGCTTTGCCACAAAATACATTATCAGGCTCCTGTCCAATGAAACCAACTACTAGTTTTAGTCTGTGAGACAAACACTCTGTCTACATTTAAAGGTAGGCTTAAAATCTTAAAGTTAAAAAAAGCGTTTGGTTAGTCGGTGGCTAAATAGAGGTAGGTGCAGGTAGAGCGTTTACAGCCCGATCCAGCGGGCTGTAAATTTCATCTCAGACAGACATTACTCCTAAGCTCTACCTTGGCCACACTGTAGCTCTACCGTTATTTTACCTCATTCAAAATCTTTAACTTATCCTGAGGTACTTTCTTTATGTGTGCTGCTATATGGTTATGCTCCTGGAGGATATAGAGAACATTTTGCTCATTCTGCTTTATTTGATCTCTATTATCCCACTCAGCAGTATTTGTAAAGTTCCCCTCATAACTTTAAAGGTATTTCCTGTGAACGTAGTTTAATAAACTATTAATAAATGGGTTGTACTTTGCTTTTCACCTGTGTTTTTTATTTTTGCTCTGCCCTTTGTCATCAATATTTTATCTCCGAAAAATAATGGAAACAGCATTTGACAGAAAAATGGTAAAAAGAAAATACATATATATACACTCTTCCCTGTTGGAGCCAACATCAAACTAATGTAATTATGGGAATACAGGCAGCAGTCCAAAGCAAGGCTGGTTTGATCAAATTAAAAAAGACTTGAAAGCTTTGTTGAAATCCAAGAGTTTTGATTTGACAGGTCAGCAAGCCAGATCTGGGAAGCCTTTAAGTGCAGCAACATGTCAGCACTTTTGATTTCCCATCAAAGCTCCAAACTCTGCAAGATTTCGGTAACAGCCCCCCCTCCATCCTGATGATGACGATGGTTAAAGGTGTGTGTGAAGAAGTCTAACAGGGCTGTCAGTCAGAGAAAATGACTCACTGGGTCACAGCAACTCACGATGGAAACCAATCTATCCTAAACATCTGTAAAGTGGTCTGCATGGTAAGACTCTGTGGAGTTTCACAAATTTGTGAATATATTTCTTTGTTCATATTTTATAACATTGTTAAAACATATGCATAACTGTCTGAAATTGTTATTATTATTCAATAGACATAAATCAATTATAATAAAAATATATAAAATTAATGTGTGTTTATGAAACATTTGTCCGAGGCGATGCTCCACTCCTGTCTCATGATTCAGTCAGGAGACCATCCTGCCATGTCATTCTGATGGAGCGTTCTGTCTTCATGAACTGATCAATTGTTCTGTCAGAACTACACTCACCGGCCACTTTATTAGGTACCCCATTCTAGTAACGGGTTGGACCCCCTTTTGCCTTCAGAACTGCCTCAATTCTTCGTGGCATAGATTCAACAAGGTGCTGGAAGCATTCCTCAGGGAGTTTGGTCCATATTGACATGATGGCATCACACAGTTGCCGCAGATTTGTCGGCTGCACATCCATGATGCGAATCTCCCGTTCCACCACATCCCAAAGATGCTCTATTGGATTGAGATCTGGTGACTGTGGAGGCCATTTGAGTACAGTGAACTCATTGTCATGTTCAAGAAACCAGTCTGAGATGATTCCAGCTTTATGACATGGCGCATTATCCTGCTGAAAGTAGCCATCAGAAGTTGGGTACATTGTGGTCATAAAGGGATGGACATGGTCAGCAACAATACTCAGGTAGGCTGTGGCGTTGCAACGATGCTCAATTGGTACCAAGGGGCCCAAAGAGTGCCAAGAAAATATTCCCCACACCATGACACCACCACCACCAGCCTGAACCGTTGATACAAGGCAGGATGGATCCATGCTTTCATGTTGTAGACGCCAAATTCTGACCCTACCATCCGAATGTTGCAGCAGAAATCGAGACTCATCAGACCAGGCAACGTTTTTCCAATCTTCTATTGTCCAATTGAGCTTGTGCAAATTGTAGCCTCAGTTTCCTGTTCTTAGCTGAAAGGAGTGGCACCCGGTGTGGTCTTCTGCTGCTGTAGCCCATCTGCCTCAAAGTTCGACGTACTGTTCGTTCAGAGATGCTCTTCTGCCCACCTTGGTTG